TCAGGGCTGGAGGTGAAGGAGATCAGGGCTAGAGGTGAAGGAGATCAGCCTGGGAGGTGCAGGAGATCAGAGCTGGAGGTGAAGGAGATCAGGCTGGGAGGTGCAGGAGATCAGGGCTGGAGGTGCAGGAGATCAGGGCTGGAGGTGAAGGAGATCAGCCTGGGAGGTGCAGGAGATCAGAGCTGGAGGTGCAGGAGATCAGCCTGGGAGGTAAAGGAGATCAGGCTGGGAGGTGCAGGAGATCAGGGCTGGAGGTGCAGGAGATCAGCCTGGGAGGTAAAGGAGATCAGAGCAGGAGGTGCAGGAGATCAGGGCTGGAGGTGCAGGAGATCAGAGCTGGAGGTGCAGGAGATCAGCCTGGGAGGTGCAGGAGATCAGGGCTGGAGGTGCAGGAGATCAGGGCTGGAGGTGCAGGAGATCAGCCTGGGAGGTGCAGGAGATCAGGGCTGGGAGGTGCAGGAGATCAGGGCTGGGAGGTGCAGGAGATCAGGGATGAGAGGTGCAGGAGATCAGGGATGAGAGGTGCAGGAGATCAGGGCTGGAGGTGCAGGAGATCAGCCTGGGAGGTGCAGGAGATCAGCCTGGGAGGTGCAGGAGATCAGGGCTGGGAGGTGCAGGAGATCAGGGCTGGGAGGTGCAGGAGATCAGGGATGAGAGGTGCAGGAGATCAGGGATGGGAGGTGCAGGAGATCAGGGATGGGAGGTGCAGGAGATCAGGGCTGGAGGTGTAGGAGATCAGAGCAGGAGGTGCAGGAGATCAGCCTGGGAGGTGCAGGAGATCAGGGCTGGGAGGTGCAGGAGATCAGGACTGGGAGGTGCAGGAGATCAGGGCTGGAGGTGCAGGAGATCAGGGCTGGAGGTGTAGGAGATCAGAGCAGGAGGTGCAGGAGATCAGCCTGGGAGGTGCAGGAGATCAGGGCTGGGAGGTGCAGGAGATCAGGGATGAGAGGTGCAGGAGATCAGGGATGGGAGGTGCAGGAGATCAGGGATGGGAGGTGCAGGAGATCAGGGCTGGAGGTGTAGGAGATCAGAGCAGGAGGTGCAGGAGATCAGCCTGGGAGGTGCAGGAGATCAGGGCTGGGAGGTGCAGGAGATCAGGACTGGGAGGTGCAGGAGATCAGGGCTGGAGGTGCAGGAGATCAGGGCTGGAGGTGTAGGAGATCAGAGCAGGAGGTGCAGGAGATCAGGCTGGGAGGTGCAGGAGATCAGAGCTGGAGGTGCAGGAGATCAGGCTGGGAGGTGCAGGAGATCAGAGCTGGAGGTGCAGGAGATCAGGCTGGGAGGTGCAGGAGATTAGGGCTGGGAGGTGCAGGAGATCAGGGCTGGGAGGTGCAGGAGATCAGCCTGGGAGGTGCAGGAGATCAGAGCTGGAGGTGCAGGAGATCAGGGATGGGAGGTGCAGGAGATTAGGGCTGGGAGGTGCAGGAGATCAGGGCTGGGAGGTGCAGGAGATCAGCCTGGGAGGTGCAGGAGATCAGAGCTGGAGGTGCAGGAGATCAGGGATGGGAGGTGCAGGAGATTAGGGCTGGGAGGTGCAGGAGATCAGGGCTGGGAGGTGCAGGAGATCAGCCTGGGAGGTGCAGGAGATCAGAGCTGGAGGTGCAGGAGATCAGGGCTGGGAGGTGCAGGAGATTAGAGATGGGAGGTGCAGGAGATCAGGGCTGGAGATACAGGAGATCAGGACTGGGAGGTGAAGGAGATCAGCCTGGGAGGTGCAGGAGATCAGGGCTGGAGGTGCAGGAAATCAGGCGGGAGGTGCAGGAGATCAGGCTGGAGGTGCAGGAGATTAGCCTGGGGAATGCAAGAGATCAGAGCTGGGAGGTGCTGGCGTCTGGAGGCCACTGTCAGTGGCTATTCTCACTTCCTGCCCCAGCTGCTCTCCTGTTCTGGCGCCAGGAGGAAGATGTATAACATTTCGGTAAGGAACAGTCTGGACTTACTAAAATAAGTCACACTGTCAGCTCCTGCCCAGCGAGGGGGGCCTAATTTCCCTGCTCCTTACAGGAGAGAAATTTGAGATGAAGCTGGTCTTGCAGAAATCCCAGCCATCTCCCTTTTAAGGAATTGTTTTTCATGGAAGATGACAAAAGAAAATAGGCTGTGGCCAATAGAGGACATTTATGGCCCTGCAAGCAGCGGAAGGCCAACAGTGGGGTGGGTTTGATGCAGGCAAGGCTCAGCAAACGGTTCAGGTGCAGACTTAATGCGGCTGAGAGGGGAGAGCCCAGGAGAGATTCCGTCTTCAACAGTCACAAACCCATCGCTTCCCTCCCCCCTCCCTGGTGCTGGCTGCAGGCCCCCCAGGTCTTCCCATGTGGTTGGCATCTCTGCGAGGCCTCAGAATAACCTTGTACAAGGAGACTGACCGTTCCTCCAGGGACACCGAGGGCCAGCAGGCCTGGCCACACATGGACACGGGCCCCATCCACAGGTGGATGTGCCACCCCTTTTTGGCTCTGTCCTCCCTGGGACCGCAGTCTTTCCCAAGGGCAATCAGACAAGATAGTGGGTCCATAGATGCCAGGCCTCACTGCCCTTACAGTCCCACACAGAGCCCGGACTTTCCTAAAAGCAAATCTCGGGGGAGCCCTACGTCTTGGTACCTCCACCAGCAGACAGCACCCTTCCATTTTCCCCCAGAACAGGGCTGCAGAAAGTGCTGTGGCAGAGACCCCTACTAGGATTGGCAGACTAGGGTTGGCACATCTTCCCATTGTCTGGGCTGGCCCGTTGAGGTCAGACAGGGGACCTGGAGGTTAGCCCGGGCATCCGCAGGTGAGATGGGCACCTGGAAGTCAGATGAGGCACATAGCAGTGACAAGTTGGCCACAGCCCAGACCCCTTGGCCTAGGGCGGGTGCAACCCTGACCAAGAGCCCACCGGTCCTGGAGGACATTGCAAGTGCCTGGTGCGGGTAAGCGGGTGGGAGGCGGGGCATCAGCATGATGGATCCTCTCCCTCCAGGCCTTTCCTGGGGATGAAGTGGGGGTGGCAGGAAGCGGGAGGTTCTGCCCTGTGGCTGACACCTAGCTGCAGCAGAGCCCACTTACTGGCAGTTTTTGTTTCTATGGCTTCCAGGTACATGCAGTCGATGACAGTCTGAAAACATTACATGGAAAATTCCAGAAATTAACAACTTAAAAGTTTTAAATTGTTTGCTGTTCTAGTGAGGAATGAGCATGAGGAAATCTCAGGCCATCCCATTCTGTCCCATCCTCTTTTGTACGGTGTATCCATCCATCCCGTATAGGTTACCTGCCCCTCCGTGGGCTGCAGCCTTGGTTATCTGATCATCTGGTGGTGTCACGAAGCTTGTGTTCATGTGACCCTGGTTTTACTGTATAATGATCCCAGAGAGAGTAGCAAGCCGGTGAAAGATAACAGAAATGAATAGCCAGGCTGTTCTGAGTCTAAAGTTGAGGGCAAACATGCTAGAAATGTTTTCCCATGCCAGTTAAACAGGAAGAGTTTTGAAGGAACCTTCCAATCGAATTTATGTTTAAAATGAACTTTAGAAAAGGTTAATATATGTTGAAAACTTGTTCAAATGACAGAACTCTACCTTTGACTTGGCTTAATCTAAAAATAGCTCCAAAGGAGCAGAGGCGACTTCCCTACCTCTGAGATCACTGGAACATCAGCTAATGGGCATGCTGTTGAACAGAAGGCTTGGAGAGGAAGGTTTCTATACTACATTTCCACAGACAGCAGACTGAAGCCCTAAGGTACAGGGCTGGGAGGCAGAAGAGCAAGTTAGACATCTAGAGATCTACTACAGAAAGTGTGGGGTAGAGGCCAGTGCTTCTGACATTTAAAGACCAGGATGAGAACTCCTGTTGGGTGCAGGAGTGGAAAAGGCATGGCGACCGCTGGTCTAGCACTGTCCTTCTGCATCCTTGGGGTACACCCCAAGCCTTCCTATAAGCATGGGCCACGTCTGTCTGCATCCTGCCACTCCTGATGAGCTGACTGACTTTGACTAAATGACTTAGCTCTCCAAGTGTCAGCCTGCTGATCAATTCAGGGTGAAGTCTGTCCATGCATGTACAGACCCTGGTCCAGCCCTCCCCACAGCAGGCTTACCAAGGGCATCCCTGTCCTGGACCCTGGGGCCCAGAGCCTGTGGCTTATGCACCACTGCCATCTGGTGGTCACATCTCCAAATTACAACTCCAGGGTTTCTCCCTCCTGAATCCTCTATAGGGAAGGAAGCCTCTGAGCATCAGGGTAGGGTGGGAGGTGGGGTGATTTCAGGGTCTGCACAGAACTGCGTGGTTACTTTGAGATGTTTTGAATTCCCAGTATATTCGACCCACTCAAAATGGACGATCCAAAACGGGCCAAAGGCAAGATTCCCCGTGCTGCACTGCCTTCCATCTGGGGTACTCTGGCAAGCTCTTTCTGCAGACACCAAGGGTCTCAATGAACCACTTAATTGAGAGTTCTGCTTCCACCTCTGAACTCTGACCCTTGCCCTGGACAATTCAGAGGGTGCCTGGTTTGAGGAGCATCAGGAAAGACTACAACAGCCCCCCATTCCAGACAGCAGTCCTCCAGGCAAGGGGCACGGGGCTGTCTGCTTTCTAGCTGCATCTCACTTGCAGGTGAACCCTGCACTGGTGGCTGACTTCCCAGGCACCCCAGCCCACCCAGCACACACCCTACCTCTGCCTGGTTCTGAGTGGGGTCACCTAGGGAGGAGGTCAGGGCAGCAGGGGCTCCAGGTGAGTTCACCCTGGATGGAACCTACAGGCGGCCACTAAGGGAAACTGCCCCAAATGACCAGGTGTCTCCACCCAGCGCTCAGGTGTATGCAGGTGTGGGGTTGGAGAGCTGCAGGCCATTCTCTGCTCATCATTATGATTCACATTCAGAAAAGTCTGCCTGCAACCATCCTCCCAGAGCTCCCGAGGAGAGCAGGGCTCCTGCCTGAGGACCTGCCCAGGCCCCACATCCTCAGGCCCTGTCCTGGCCAAAGAGAAATGAGCAGTGACACTCACCAACATCCGTCTGGATGGTTTCTGGTGGGCCCAGGAGTTCCGTGGTGGTCCAGACGTGCAGACTCTGAGAGCAGTGGGGGTGCTGGGCTCCAGAGGGCCCTTGTCAGTCATCTCAGAAATGTTGTGTCCAGCCCCTGGGTCTGGATCCAGGTCAGGAGGGTGCGGGGAGGCCTTGGGGAATCCCAGTTGCTCTGGATTAGCAGAGTTGCTGGACCCTGCAACAGAATTATGGGCTGACCTGGCTCACCAGTTCTCTCCAACTCCTCACCCTCCCACAGTCCATATTTTCTTCCAAGAACACCTTCCTGTCTCAGAAGACCATGGCTGGGAGGACAGCAGACCAACATGCCTACCAGGTGTGGATCAGCAAGGCCCAGGGATGACCAGATGAGCCCCACGGGTGGGCAGTCAGGCAGCCTGTGTCGCAGGAGCAAAAAACCTTCCTCTATGCAGATCTAACTGGCTTAGGGAAGTGCCAAGACCTGAGCTTGGACCATGAGTCTCCCCTTGACTTCTCCTTCCAGCCATAAAAACAGTGAGGTTTTCCCATCTTAACCCCAGTCCTTTTTATTTGGCTTTTCCATCAGTGGATTTAGGATTAGCATTCGGGGCTGAGGGATGTGATATAAAACCATCTGCTATCACTTAGTAGCTCAGGGACCCAGAAAAAATTACCTGCTACCCTGGGCAAAACCATGCTCAATAGTAGAAACATAATCCCAGCACCTCCTAGGACACTGCAGGGACATAGGGTGGCACTGTCCTCCTGTGCAGGTACAGTCCAGCACCTCCTAGGACACTGCAGGGACACAGGGTGGCACTGTCCTCCTGTGCAGACACAGTCCAGCACCTCCTAGGACTCTGCAGGGACACAGGGTGGCACTGTCCTCCTGTGCAGACACAGTCCACCACCTCCTAGGACACTGCAGGGACACAGGGTAGCAATGTCCTCCTGTGCAGACACAGTCTACCACCTCCTAGGACACTGCAGGGACACAGGGTGACACTGTCCTCCTGTGCAGACACAGTCCAGCACCTCCTAGGACACTGCAGGGACATAGGGTGGCACTGTCCTCCTGTGCAGGTACAGTCCAGCACCTCCTAGGACACTGCAGGGACACAGGGTGGCACTGTCCTCCTGTGCAGACACAGTCCAGCACCTCCTAGGACTCTGCAGGGACACAGGGTGGCACTGTCCTCCTGTGCAGACACAGTCCACCACCTCCTAGGACACTGCAGGGACACAGGGTGGCACGGTCCTCCTGTGCAAATACAGTCCCACCACCTCCTAGGACACTGCAGGGACACAGGGTGGCACTGTCCTCCTGTGCAGACACAGTCCACCACCTCCTAGGACACTGCAGGGACATAGGGTAGCAATGTCCTCCTGTGCAGACACAGTCTACCACCTCCTAGGACTCTGCAGGGACACAGGGTGGCACTGTCCTCCTGTGCAGACACAGTCCACCACCTCCTAGGACACTGCAGGGACACAGGGTAGCAATGTCCTCCTGTGCAGACACAGTCCAGCACCTCCTAGGACACTGCAGGGACACAGGGTGACACTGTCCTCCTGTGCAGACACAGTCCAGCACCTCCTAGGACATTGCAGGGACACAGGGTGGCACTGTCCTCCTGTGCAGACACAGTCCAGCACCTCCTAGGACACTGCAGGGACACAGGGTGGCACTGTCCTCCTGTGCAGACACAGTCCAGCACCTCCTAGGACTCTGCAGGGACACAGGGTGGCACTGTCCTCCTGTGCAGACACAGTCCACCACCTCCTAGGACACTGCAGGGACACAGGGTAGCAATGTCCTCCTGTGCAGACACAGTCTACCACTTCCTAGGACACTGCAGGGACACAGGGTGACACTGTCCTCCTGTGCAGACACAGTCCAGCACCTCCTAGGACATTGCAGGGACACAGGGTGGCACTGTCCTCCTGTGCAGATACAGTCCACCACCTCCTAGGACACTGCAGGGACACAGGGTGGCACTGTCCTCCTGTGCAGACACAGTCCACCACCTCCTAGGACACTGCAGGGACACAGGGTGGCACTGTCCTCCTGTGCAGATACAGTCCCACCACCTCCTAGGACACTGCAGGGACACAGGGTGGCACTGTCCTCCTGTGCAGACACAGTCCACCACCTCCTAGGACACTGCAGGGACACAGGGTGGCACTGTCCTCCTGTGCAGATACAGTCCCACCACCTCCTAGGACACTGCAGGGACACAGGTGGCACTGTCCTCCTGTGCAGACACAGTCCAGCACCTCCTAGGACATTGCAGGGACACAGGGTGGCACTGTCCTCCTGTGCAGACACAGTCCCAGCACCTCCTAGGACACTGCAGGGACACAGGGTGGCACTGTCCTCCTGTGCAGACACAGTCCACCACCTCCTAGGACACTTCAGGGACACAGGGTGGCACTGTCCTCCTGTGCAGACACAGTCTACCACCTCCTAGGACACTGCAGGGACACAGGGTGGCACTGTCCTCCTGTGCAGACACAGTCCCAGCACCTCCTAGGACACTGCAGGGACACAGGGTGGCACTGTCCTCCTGTGCAGATACAGTCCCAGCACCTCCTAGGACTCTGCAGGGACACAGGGTGGCACTGTCCTCCTGTAGGATACAGTCAAGCACCTCCTAGGACACTGCAGGGACACAGGGTGGCAGGGTCCCATTGTTGTCAATTTCTGTCACTCTCAATTTGGGGCCAATCGGCCTGTGTTCCCAGCATCCTCACACCCTCAGCCACCACTCCTGAAAACCGAGGTGATCTAGTAGTGCCCCCTGTTCTTAGTGTCATCTAGTGAGTTTAGAACTCTTTCTCCGCTGAGAGTCATTAGAAAGTGCCGGTGCTTCTGGGAGAGGCGTGGCAGCACTCAGTGGTCCTTACTGTTGGCAGCAGGAAGAGTTTCCCTCCTACCTTCATCACACAGCTGGTAAAGGGCAAATAGGAAGGGCCGTATTTCTTTTAGTTTTTTTTTTTTCCAAACTCTGAATTTCTTCTCAATCTATAATGAACAAAACACAAAATCCATTTCTTATTGGAACTATTTTTCTTATTTGGGTTTTTTTTTTTCAGATCCTGAATTTCTTCTAAATCTACAAAGAATCACCCAGAGGATTGGAGACATTGGTTCTGAGCCAGACCCACTTGGTGATGAGAGAGTCCAGTTCCAACTGGGAACATTTACCTGAGTCCCAGCCTTTTCAGTTTACATTACACCTACCACCTCGAAAAATAAATCCAAGTACCCATCTGGGTTGAAGGAAAAGAGTTACTGTGACTTCATAAAAAATGGAACTATGTAATGTCAAATTCCAAAAAACTCAAGTGGTGCTACATAAGACATTATTGTTTCTTTTTCTTAATTATATGGAAACTTCTCATTTTTTTCCCGCTACTCCTCTATGTCCAAAGTTGGAGGCAGGTCATACCATAGGGTCCATCGCACCTTCTTAACTAAAAAACTGCTCGCACTATTCTTCTTCCAGTTTTGGCCACACAGAACACTAACTCTACTGTGCTGTCGGACTCCACAGAGCAGGATGAACGAGACTGTAATACAGCAGCCTCTCATCTCAGGACGGGAACGGGTTCCAGCACGGACTCAAACTGGTTGTTGGCTTTTACCGTTCTTTTAACTAAATGTGAGCGTGCACTCACGGGGTTAGCTGCTACACATTCTGGTCCTTCTGGAGAAGAATGAAAAAATTTTAAAAAAGCAAATGTTCTGAGACTTGAAAAAGTCAACAAAGGGTTCTGTTTCCAGGAGAAAAATCACTCCTTTCATCCAAAAATGTGGATTTACACATTAAAAGTACGTATTTGTACAGAATCTCTTTAGGTATATCAGATATGAAATCCATCTTGATGTCTTTATGCTTCTTTATCACATCAAAGGGTTAACTGCAAAACTGGACCCTCATTTCTGTCCAGTAAATCTATGTCCCAAGATGAACCAGGATTTAGAGATAAATGTAACTTTTTAAAATCTCTTGCTTTTCAAATTACAACAAATATTTGGAATTTACTGCTGCAGTCACAAATGTGCTTATCATAATAATGGCCGAAACTGGAGACATTTTTAAGAAATCCTGAAGTCATCCATACTTGCCATTTATTAGCCTTCTTGTTTGGAGCAAAAGGCTAAGAATGCACAAATACCACAACCTAAGCACCTGTTTCAAATTAAACATCAGCCTTCAGTTTGCAAAATAATTTTTTGATAATTAAGCAAATTGCAGAAGACCCATCAGTTGCTTTTTTTCTCCCTGGGGAAGTCAGCGGGATAACTGCACCCGAAGGGCTTCTTTCTGTGTTAAATCTGAAAGGTGGAACCAAAGAAAAGCAGTCTTGTCCAGTCCCAGCCATGGAGGTGATATGTGGAAAGGCATCCATATTTCAGTATGGAAAGTGGCTGGATCAAAGAAGAGGACTACCCGCTCAGAAGACAACCAGAAATACCTGCCACATCTTGAGGTCAGAATTTGTTTTGAGACGGATATAAAAGCACCTGAAGTGTTCATCCTGTGTGACAAGGATTCTCGCATGGTGCATCAGATGCAGAAGGCTTCCCGGGGGGCCTGCCCGCCCCTGGCCCAGAACGCCCCTCACTCCGCCATCTTCGCTTCTTCAATACATGCTTTTTTTAAAAAAAAAAATTGTCTTTATTTGTTCTTTTCGGTTATACATGACAGTAGAGTGGATTTTGACATATCATACATAAATGCAGTATAACTTCCCATTCTGTTTTCATATATGAACACATGAAAGTTATGTATTTCCCATTCCAATCTCCCTCCCTTCTCCCCCTATTCCTCCCCTCCCAATCCAGTGAACCTCCACTCTCCCCCGGCTCCCCACCCCACCTATTGTGAGTCAGCATCCACATGTCAGAGAGAACATTCGGCCTTTGTTTTTTGGGGGACTGGCTTATTTCACTTAGCATGATAGCCTCCAGTTCCATCCATTTACCAGCAAATGCCAACATTTTATTCTTCTTTGTGGCTGAGTAATGTTCCATGTGCATATGTACCACATTTTCTTTATCATTCATCTGTTGAAGGCACCTAGGTTTGTTCCACAGCTTGGCTATTGTGACTGAAGTTGCTATAAACATTGATGTGGCTGGATCACGGTAGTAGGCTGATTTTAAGTCCTTTGGGTATATACTGAGGAATGGGATAGCTGGGTCAA